ATTAAATAAAACTCTTAAGTCATGGTCTTATGATAAAAAGTATGTACCAAGGCAACAGGGGCTCAAGAAATCAGACTAGCACACATGCCCAGCCCATGAGATTCAGACTGAAATGGATCTTCCTGTTGCCTTAAAAGATGGCTTGGGTAACTGGTATTATGGTAGTGTGGGTTAAGCACCCACTTGAGGCACTTATATCCCATATAGGAGTGCCTGAGTTGAGTCTGGGTTCCTCCTCTCCCATCTGGCTTCCTGAGAATGTGCCTGGGAAAGCAGCAGTCAATGGCTCAAGTGCATGGGGACCTGCCACCCACCTGGGAGACCTGGATAGAAGTCCAGGCTCTTGGCTTCAACCCTGGCCCAGCTGTTGAAAGTGTCTGGTGAATGAATCCCTGGATGTGTGGGATCCCTCCCTCTGCCTCTCCCCTGCCCTGTGTCACTCTACCTTCCAAATAAGTAAACCTCTTTTTTTAAAAAAAGGTTGATTCAGAATCTGACAGGACTCTTAAGTAATCATGAACCACAGATTTAGTGAAGATGACCAGGGCAAAATTGGTCTCTAAGATCCTGCTGTTTAACTTAGAAACTAGAAGTGCTCTAATAATATTTTGCTGGAAAGGCCTGGAAATGTGACTGACAGCTTATACTATAAGCAGAACTTGCCTGTAAATGCCAATATGAAAGAGTCTGTCTCCCTCTCCCCCTTTCTCTCTCTCTCTCTCTCGCTCTCTCTCTCTCAACCTCCCTCCCTCTTTCCTCTCTCCCTCCCTTTCCCTTCTCCCTCCTTCTCCCCTCCACCTCCCTCTTTTCCTCCCTCCATTCCTTTCTCTCTCCCTCCCTCGATTTCTCTCCCTCTTCCCCCCCCATCCTCCCTCTCTCCTTCTTCATCCCTCCCTCCACCTCCCTCTCTTCCCCCCTCCTTCCTTTCTCATCTCTCCATGAGTTACAGATCTATGGCTCACTCCCCATATGGTTCCACTGGCAGGGACTGTGCCAGGCCAAAGCCAGGAACCAAGAGCTTCTTCCAGGTCTCCCACATGGTTTCAGGAGCCCAGGCACTGGAATCATTCTCTTCTACTTTCCCAGGTGCATTAGCAGGGAGCTAGATCAGAAGCAGAGCAGCCGGAACAACAAACTGGCTCCCTTCTGGGATGCTAGCATTGCAAGTGATAGCTTTTTACTTCCTGTGCTACTTTTGCTGACCCAATAAAATAAATCTGAAAAACAAAAGACCTCTGCACAACATGACTTTAGTTATTACAGACCCCTGCTCACTAAGAAAAGCATACTCATTTAGTGCAGAAAATCATGGAAATAGAAAATAGAGGTTAAATAAGCAGTTAAAAATCACCTGTAACCCTGGCTACCAGAGAAAGCCACTGTAAACATTTTTGTTGATTTCCTGCCTATTCTGGTGTCCTGTGCCATAAGGTCATAGAGAACATGCCCAGCCTCTCTCAGGGCTGAGCGGGGAATGCTCTGAGAATCTCCAGGTGATGGGGTTCTATGCAGAACCCCTCCATCTTCACCACAGGACCCACCATCCCTGCCAGCTGCTGCCTCTCAGAACTAGCCCTGTACCTTGCCTCAAAGGACCTCCAAACCTTGGGCTGGAGCAACCTTATCCTAGAAGACCCAGATTTGGCACCTATGAAAGAGAAAGGAGAAACCACGACTGTAGATGGGTTTCTGCAATGCCCTGTGCCCACAGCCTCTGGGAGAGCCCCTGTTCCAGGGCTGCAGACAGCTGCACCAAATCCTGGCCTATGACATGGAATAGAGACCACTGTGCCATGGGCCATCCTGGGAAGGGCCACTGATTCTCTATCTCAGGCCTCAGCAGTAGAGACTCAACTTTCCATTGTCCTTTGGCCGTCCTGTAGAAGTAGTCTTAAAGCAAAACCTGTGGTGTTGCATTCAAAAGACCTTTACAGGAGCAGGCATTTAATTTAATGGTTCAGAAGCTACTTGGGGGATTGGCATGGTAACCTAGTGGCTCAGTTCCTCACCCTGCCCACACTAGGATCCCATGTAGGCACCAGTTCTAATCCTGGTGGCCACATTTCCCATCCAGCTTCCTGCTTGTGGCTGGGGAAAGCAGTTGAGGATGACCCAAAGCCTTGGGACACTGCACCCACATGGGAGACCCCAAGGAAGCTTCTGGCTCCTGGTTTCAGATCGGCTCAGCTCCAGTCATTGTAGCCACTTGGGAAGTAAATCAACAGACAGAGGATCTTTCTGTCTCTCCTCCTGTCTGTATATCTGGCTTTCCAATGCAAATAGATAAATCTTTAAAAAAAAAAAAAAGATGCCACTTGGGATACCTACATCCCAGATCAAAGTTCCTGGATTCAAGTCCTCGCTCTGTTCCAATTCCAACTTCCTTCTGATGCACACTCTGGGAAGAAGCAAGTGGTGACTCAAGTGCTTGGGTTCCTGCCACTCAAGGTAGGAGACCTGGATTGAGTTCCTAGCTCCTGGCTTTGGCCTGGCCCAGGCCGATCTGTTTCTGGTTAACTGGAGAATAAACCACTGAATGGAAGAGCTCTTCGTTACTACTCCAATTGTTCCTTCCAAATGCAATAAATCCATAAGTAATAATTCTTTAAAAAAAAAAAAAGCAGTTAGCACCTCGATTGCAGCAAGAATGGTTAGGCTGAGGATCGTGCCAGTCAATGCATGTCAGTCAAACGTGCTGGCACCACATCTTGCCTTGCACAGGAAACTGCTCAACAGAACTTCAAGTCTCCCCTCCTAGGTCTCTCCCTGAAGGCCTCAAAGCTACAGAATTAGGAGTCCCAGCAAGAAGCCAGGCCCAGCAGAAGGAGCGAAAAGAACCAGGGTGGACCTGAGTTGTCTCACTCTGGATTATCCCTTTGTGAAAGCTGCCTAGGGACCCACATGCCAGCTTTGTCCCAGAAACAAAAACAGAGCCCAATAGGGAGGACACAGGTGGGAGTACGCCAAGAATCACCACAACATGAAAAGAAAAGATGTTTATTTTGGTGCAAGGAGCATTTGAAATCCATGCTTAGTTTTTCATGCTTTTCATAACATGAACTTTGTATTTCTCATGAACTTTGCATGTGTGAGTTTCAAAGTTTTTTACACCAAAATCTTTTATTTCCAACTTGCCATGAGCCTTTGTAAATTCTCTCACATGTGGCTCACCCCATGCTACAACCTCACACATGAACAGACATAAGAAATATGTAGACAAATTTTTTCCCATTTATACACAAGTACAAAAAGGCTATGTAAGCTCTTGGCACTTTGGGCTCACCTAATTAATGAGGGTAATTTAAATGCTATTAACCCATTTCATGCCATGCCCCAACCACACCTACCACAGGGAAAAATGCATGCAATGGATTCTTGCTAAAAGATGGAGCAGAAATATACCATCCTTTGGACACAGAAGCTGGTGGCCATAGGGAAGCAAATAGATCTGAGTTTGGATTTTGATTCTAGCACCCTTACCAGCTTCATGACTTTGAACAAGTGACTTCACTCTTCCTAATTTCTGACACTCTCCCTAAAAGAAAGTAAAAGTCATCCCTTGTCATCCACTGGATCCACCCGAGAGGTATCAAATCCGTAAACTCTCCAGTCCCATACCTAAAATGGTGTAGTATTTGCATATATGTAACACCCATCCTCTCCTATACTGTGTCATCTTTAGAGTAGCTACACCTCCCAAGACAATGCAATTCATTGTTACATTGTAAGGAGTTAGGAAGTAAGGCCAAGAGAAGAAGTCTGTACACGGAATTCAGGCACAGTATTTCCTAAGAATTTTCCATCTGCAGTTGGTTGAGCCTCAGTACAACGAAGCAGCAGATGTGGAGGGTCAGCTATGCATACCTTTTAGACTAGGAATAAGTGAAGATGAAATGGGAAAACTGTGTTAAGTGAAAATTACATGAAAAGATGTATGAAAGCAACTAGTCCTACTATCATCATGCACCAACAGTGTGCCGGGAGGGTGCTAAAGAGACTCAAGAATGGGTTAGGATGCTTTAGAAACACTATGTCCCACTAAAGCTGTGAATGTTGGGAGCCACTGGTGTATAGGCAGTTGGTGAGGAGGGGATCACAAGACTCCACCTGTTTAGTGCTGACTTGGATTCAGAGGCTCCTTTGCCCAGGATCTATAGTATCCTGCAAAATCTCTGGGGAAAGCTTCCAATCAATAGTGGTTTTTAAGAAAAGTCTCTATTGGGCCCAGCACAGTAGCTTAGTGGCTAAAGTCCCTTGCATGTGCCAGGATCCCATATGGGCACAGGTTCCTATACCAGCATCCCCATTTCCCATGCAGCTCCCTGCTTGTGTCCTGGAAAAACAGTAAAGGATGGCCCAAAGCATTGGGACACTGCACCCACATGGGAGACCTGGAAAAAGCTCCTGGCTTCAGACTGGCTCAGCTCCAATCATTGTTACCACTGAGGAGTGAATCAGTGGATGGGAAATCTTCCTCTCTGTCTCTCCTCCTGTCTGTATATCTGCCTTTCCAAAAAAAAAATAAATAAATAAATCTTTAAAACAGAAAGAAATAAATAAAAACCTCTATCAGAAGTTCTGAGGGAGTTTTCAGAATATTGAAGTTTGAATATATAACTTCTGGGGAGACCCACCTTCAGCCCCTCACACAGAGGTTCTGGGTGGGTGGTCTCATCATACATCACTGCCCTCTCACTCCCTCTCCTCCCCTTGCTCCAGGGGAATCCTCAAGTGCAGACACGGGACCCCTTCACAGGCTTCTTACAATAATCCAGTCTGGAAGGACTACCAGGGGTGAACCGTGTTCCTGCTGTGGGGATTCAGCAGGTGAGTCAGACTCTGCAAACTCTGTGTGCCACCCATGCGGGTGATACAGGAGACAGGGAGTAAGAACCCGACCAGGAAAGAGTCGAGCACACCAATCCAGAGCAGAATGTGCCGGGATCCTGCCATGGCACCTTTCCATTGCAGTCACTCAGTGCTCCCCTCTTGATTTCCAGGTACGACAGCTTTGGCCGCTTGACAAATGTGACCTTCCCTACTGGCCAGGTGAGCAGTTTCCGAAGCGATACAGACAGCTCTGTGCACGTCCAAGTCGAAACTTCCAGCAAGGATGACATCACCATCACTACCAACCTGTCAGCCTCAGGGGCCTTCTACACGCTGCTGCAAGGTAAGGCACATGGGCCCTTGAAGGTGGGGACCAAGGGTAGGGGAGGTGGAGGGACACCTGTGGAGGAGGATAGCCCTGGAAGCCAGCAGCCTCAGGGGCTGCCCAAGAACAGACAGGCGTTACACCTGCTTTTGCTCTGTTTTACAACACATGCCAGCCTGTTTCAAGAAGTTCTTTCTAGAAGTTTTAGTGCAATACTTCATTGTCCTGTCCCATTATCATAAGGACAAAGGAGAGAGAATCCTTGGCTGCTAAGCCAGATGATCCTGCCATTCTAAAGGCTGAGTGTGCATGCTAGGATAGGGCCTGGCAAAGAGGAAGGACGGGGCCCTCCTGTCGCCCTCCCTCCCGCCGTGGATTCCAGAGAAGGCGTGCTCTCTTCTTCCACATCATCCCTGCTACGAGTAGCTCTTTCAACACTGGGTCAATCATTGTGATGGCATCTTACTATAAACTGTCTGCCTCCGTTGTCCTTCGGGGACATAGCAAGATCGAACAGGCGGATTCAGTAACCTAGGACAAAGTCATCACCACTGCCTGATGTTTCCCATTCTCCAGGTGGCTCCTTGCACTCCCGAAGGCTTTGGCCCAGAATAGTCAGTGCAGGAGATGGGGCTGGGAACCAGCATGCCCAGTTCTAGTTCTGACTCTGCCACCACAGCACCCAGCATGGCTCCCAATTTCCTCCCATGAGGGGACTTACTAACTCTTCTTCTCCAGGAAAAAAAAAAGCAAACGGAAGCTGTGGGAAACTGTGCGGGCAGTGTGAAGAGCAGGGAGCTGGGTAGAGAGCCCTGGGACTTCTCTGGCACAGGTTCCTCCCAGGGAGTGCCTTGTGTGGAGCCACTCCTCTTTTCCTCTACCTCAGTTTCTACATCTGCAAAATGGGGCTGATTCCACACAGATTCCAGCAACCACAGACAGAAAACCCTCAAAGAGTGCCTGTACTGAATATGTGCAGACATTTCTTTCCTGTCATTATTCCCTAAACAATACAGTATAGCAATCATGAGGAAGCTTCAAAATGTAAGTGTACGCTGGTGCAAAAAGGCTTGAAACTCATGCAGTTTTCATCTGTTGATTTTTCCATGAACTTTTTGAACATCCTACCTCTGCCCACCATAGTTCTGCCTCCACACAATGTTCAGGTCATCTGATTGGCCCACACAGGTAAAGAGACCAGCATGGGCCAGGCCCATAAGGCTGCTCGATATGTACTTGTCAGCTTAACCAGCAAGCTGTTTGATTTGCCATAAGAAACAAATGTACATTTTTACCTACCACCACTTGTATACCCTTATGTGGTCCTCTGCCTTCCAGATTACTCAAAGAATAATGGGGTTCCCAGGAAAAGAACCTCAGTCCTGGGGTACCTTCCCCACCAGGCACATTCAGGAGTAGACTGGGACATGCTTCAGAAATCTGGGGGTCTTTGCCAAACCCAAGTGCCAGTTCCCAGGCAGTAGGGTCCTGCCTGACCAAGGACAGCAGTGTCATCCATTTCCCTGCTTTCTTCCCTGGGGTTCAAGAACATCTTCACCTGTGCACTCCACTGATTGCAAGCCTTCCTCTCAAAAGTTGCTGCAGGCTGTCCTATTCAGACAGCATTTTTTTTTAACCCCAAAGGACAACATCCCTCCGTTTTAGAGCGTGCTGTCAGTTTAATAACAGCTTTTCAAATAGTGGGAAAAAGACAGAGTACTTGAAACACACCCATGGATTGTCAGACACCAGCCAATTTCATAACCATTAAGAAATGAAAAAGGTAAAGGCCATCTTAGAGCCAGCAAGCACAGGAGCTGCTCTCCCCCTCCACCACCTGGTACCTCTGCCAAGCTCCCTTATCTTCTCATATACCAGGCCTGGATGCTGAGTCCTGCAGCCACCTCGGCAGAGTCTTTGGAGAAAGCTCTTTGGCTTCATCTTAGGGCTAAACCATGGGAAGTCATAAGGAGTGACTGCTAATAAGTGGCGCCCATGGAAAGTCACAGATCACATTAAACAGGTGCCATTAGGCATGCGGTTCTGCCAACACTGCTGTGCCCACAAGCCCTGGTAATGAATACATGTGGATTCAGCGAGGAGCGACTCAGAGAAAGAAAGTGACCCAGGCTCTTTCTTCAAAAGAAGCAAAAGAGATTGTTGGTGAATAATGCATAGCAGGTTTGAAGCAGATTTTAGAGTTCAGTGTATATGCACAAGGTGGGGAGGTAGAAAGAGACAGAGGGGAGGGAAGAATGAGAGAGGAGCTAGGTTGAACCATTTGAGCAGGGAAGGTTTGGTGAGCATTTCTCAGAAAGCTACTACCTTACTGTGTAGTGTAACCTGAGCGTATCTAGTTCAATCCAGCAAATATTTGCTGAACACATGCAATTATAGCAACAGTAATCACTAATATTTGGGGACACTTACTAACTGTAAAGTGTATGCTTAGCATCTTACATTCATGCACAGATTGAATTGTCACAGCAAGCCTATGAGACCAGGGTTGTTCCTATATCTGTTTCCCACATGAGGGCAATGCAGGGTCAGGAGCATGTCCCAAGTCACAACTAAAGGGATTTGGGGTCTGAATAGGTTCTGTGACCCACTCTTTGAACTGCTAATCTAAGGAAATGAGGATATTGCCATGTTAGAAGACTACGATGGGTACTGGAAAGGCTCTAGGCAGCAGGTGTGTAGACTGGGGAGGCAGGCAGAAGAGTCACAGTGAGAAGCACGTGTGACAGCAGCTAGCATGGTGCCAAGCACATGGAACTAGTGTGAGCTAACTTTGACATCACGTTTCCTGTGAGCCAAGCAATGCTGGCAACTCTGGGTTTCTATTTTCCCACTCGAGTCTCGGGCATCCCTATAGGAAGTCATTGTGCAGAAGCACAGCTGTGATTCCCCAGTGCACAGCTGAAGCGGCAGAGGCAGACAGGACAAAAACATGGCCATGGTCTGAGCACCAGGACCTGAGCCCACAGAACCTGGCCCCCGCAGCTGTCATTTGGATCCCTGTGCAGTCAGCATTCACATATCTGAGAATGTGTTCATTCATGCGTATCACTACAAGGCCACTAGTGAGACCCCTGTTACAGCTCGGGAGCAGACAGGGCAGCCTGTTCTTCGCCCAGAGGAACAGAGAAACATCTAGAAAGGGGTGATATTTAAACCAGGCCTCAGAGGAAGGACCTGAGTGAGGGGCAGTGCAGACAAAGGGAGTGATGAGGAAGCATGGTAGAAGAGATCAGAGGCAAACATAGAGACTCCAGAAGAGGACTCCATGGACACTTTACAGGTGGAATTCACTTTGGTCCCCAGTAGTCTCTTCTGGGTAAAGACACAATTGAAATATTTAAAACACTTTAAAATTATACATATTTTGAAAAGTATTTATGTATATATGTTTATATACACATATATAGGGTGATGATCATATATACAGAAAGATTACGATTTTATATATATATATATGTATATATATATATATGATTCTTTGATTTTATATGGGAGGCATTCTGCCAATGATTACAAATGGGGCTATTTTTGTGCCTTTGTTACCCTAGAATCTATTTACAGCTTTAAAATCATTCAGTCCTTGACTCTGATAATCCTACTCTCACAGGTCTATTTTGGTTAAATAATCCAAAATGCAAATATTAACTTTTTAAAACTATTTGAATTTAGATATATTCACACACTATACTGCTCAATGACTTTTTGTATGTTTACCAAGTTGTACAGCCAGCACCACTGCCTCATGCTGGACCCTTTGTATGACCCCAGGACGGAATTCCACACCAGCCCTCCACATCCCCCTTGCACTTGGCAGCCAGTAATCTACTTTCTGTCTCTGTAAATTGGCCTGTTCTTGACACATCATGTAAATGGACTCGTAAAACAGGTGGTCTGTGTGGCTGATTCTCTCACTTAGTGTATTTATCTGTACTGTTGGTTGTGAATGTGAAAAACTAGAAACTGAGTAATCTATTTGCTTAAATATAGTATATACGGTTATGAAAATGCATTTTATGCAAAATATTTAATGAGGCGCTAAAATACAATGACCAGTGGGATACTCCATAAACAACTGCATTAAGCTAGAACTGCACTGGGAAATATCCTATAATCTATAAATTAAAAAAGAGAAAACACTTCCAAGAAATTTGCCAGTACTGAGGTTATAGATAACCTCCAGTTACAAGGGATCATCAAACAGTTCATGGAAAATGTGTCTTATGGGGAAAAAAAAAAGGCATGGGTCTGAATTGATGCATCCAAATCCACTTGTCCTATAAATCTTTTTCTACAAACTTTGGGAATTACCTTTGGACTTTCCTAGTCTTCTTCGGGGGTAGTGATTTGCTTCCATAGTTGGAATGGACAACACTTCAGTCCATCCGTGTCTCCATCCCTGTACCTCCTGAGCAGCATATGCCTCTCCTGTCCCCCAGACCAAGTGCGTAACAGCTACTACATCGGGGCGGATGGCTCCCTGCGGCTGCTGTTGGCCAATGGCATGGAGGTGGCACTGCAGACGGAGCCCCACCTGCTGGCGGGCACCGTGAACCCCACCGTGGGCAAGAGGAACGTCACCCTGCCCATTGACAATGGTCTCAACCTCGTGGAGTGGCGGCAGCGCAAGGAGCAGGCTCGGGGCCAGGTCACTGTCTTTGGGCGCCGGCTGCGGGTAAGCAGATCTCCTGGGGGCGACTGCATCCTGGGGTGGTGGGGGAGGGCCAGGAGAAATGAGCTCTGCTTCCCAGCCTCTGCCTGGGGTCTCCGTGTCCTCTAGAGAAGTGGGTCCCTGAAGCTCAGGCCATGACAGCCTGGGCAAATCATTGTAGTTTTCATCTCTGAAAACATTGCTGGCTCCTAGGTCAGCCAAGTCTGAGCCAAATATCCTCATGTTCCTCGTCATCCCGGAGGGAACTTGGGCAAGTCAGCCATCTTCAAGCCCCACTTCACTGACCATAAAACAGGAAGAACAGCCCAGTGCCAGCAGGTTGCTACCAGGACAAGGAAGACATAAAGCCTCCCTCACTGCAAGCCTGTGTGCAGGTGCTGTGGTTGGCGGAGTGCTGCCCTGCTGCCCGAGGCTAAGCTGCCCCAGCCTCCAGCTGAGCTACCTGGGCCCTGAGCCCTGCCTGGGTCTGGCCCTCTAGCCCTGCCTGAAACAGCACCTCCTCTGCCTCATTGCTCATGTTTCTATGGACAGTGGCCTCTGCCCTTGGACCTGCTGCCCAGACTCTTTTCTAGTAATTTAAATTTTTTTAAGGTGTTTTTTTTTTCTAAGGCAAAGTTACAGAGAAGAGATCTTCCATCCACTGGGTCACTTCCCATATGGTCACAATGGCTGGGACTGGGCCAAGCCTAAACCAAGAACCTGGAACTCTATCCAGGAACCCCACATGGGTGCAGGGACCCAAGCACTTGGACCATCTGGATATTTAGCAGGGAACTGGATCCGAAGTAGAACATCCATATGGGACGTGGGTGCTACAAATGGCAGCTTAACAAGCACACCACAATGTCCGACCCTATGCCCTGCTTCCTTTGCCTCCAGCTACGAAAGGACAGGTGACAGGAGGAGTAAATACCGTGCCTAATGATGCCAGATCCTGCAGACGTCAGGTGCCCAGTGGGCCGTCACTGAGCTGAGAGACAACATGGAACTGAGTCAGATCACAGCCGCAGAAATGCCCTCACAGCAGCACAGCCGGCTCCCTGGAGTTCTTTCCCCTTCCACATAGAATTCATATAAGCTCCTGCTTTACATACAAGGCAACCCAAGTCCAGAAAAGATAATGCTAATCAGTGTAGAAGACAAGGAAATAGATCCACTACAGGCAAAAACACAGGAAGCATCTTATCCGATGCCACACAACTAGAACCTGGAAAACCAGGCTGGCTATGTTTGCTGAACAGCCATGGACATTGCCAAACACTCTGGTGACTAGAGTTTGGGAAACAGCCTCCCTTGAGCTTCCAGGGGAAGGGCTGGCCGTCTCTGTCCTTGGTGGCCTTGCTAAATGCCCTGTCTAGATTCTCCATGCTCCAGAAGGCAGGGTGCTCACTGGGAGCTGGCAACTGGCTTGCACTCGTGCTGAGCCACGTGTGTAGCCTTGAGCGCCTTCTCTGAGCCTCAGGCACCCTTACAGAAACCTCATAAACCCTTTGGAGCACCTTTCCTGGTACTGTCAGCTGCAGGTGCCCAGCAGTCGATACCCAGAGGATGATGGAGGATTCCCGCTCTGCCAGGTGCATCAGACCCCGAGTTTCCCAGACTTTAATTGGTCCCTGTCCTGGCTCCCCAAGATGGATGGGGTGCTAGTTGGCTGGCCACATCTCCACGTCCTCCCAAAATAAATGGCCACCCACGGTGGCAGTGTGTGGAATTAGAACGTTAGCTGAGTATGCCTCCCACTAATGGAGCTCATTTTTTATACGGCTAGGAACTTTTTTTTTGTTTTAATAAAGAAAGATGTAAAATAATCTCATTGCCGCCACTGCCAAACACAGGAAGCATTAGGCGAGTCCCCAGTGAGCTGCTTAATTCAATTTTATTAATTTTTGCCGCAGAGGGTACACCAGAGGGGCAGCAGGCGCCACCCTCAGGGGAGGTATCAGGGGACCTGAAGGCACTGTACCAAGACCCCTGGTACTATATAGTTAGTGCAGCCCTGGCTCCCCCTTTGCCCTTGTCTGCAGACAACGCAGCTTCAGGCTGCCACGGCTCTGAGTTTTCACGAGAATTATCTGCCACATGCTGTTTGTGCTTCTGCAGTTGTGTTTGATTACCCGAGGGAAGACAACCTGATTATAACAGGCCAACGTCATCTCAGCACCGTCATTAGAAATCCTCATTTTCAAGGCCTCAGAGAGAGCCCGGGGAGCAGGGGGGAAGACACGCGTCCCTCGCTGCCTCCAGGAATGAACTTGATCGCTGACTGCCGTTTAAAGGCACTGATTGCAGTCATTGATCCGGGACCTTCTCCGGGCCCAGTCCCCTGCCATGTAAAGCATTTCAGTTTCTCAGGCGCTTACAATTCTATCACTTTCCAGAGGAGGAAGATGAGGCTCTGAGAAAGAGGGGCGCTACCCAAGGTCACCAAGGACAGTCACTCAGAGAGCCTGAATCCCTGGGCCTGGACCCTTTTGTTCTTGCTAACCACACAGGGCCCCAGAAGGCCTTCCATTACTTCCAGCTTCACATGCCGTTCTGCATCACATGACTTTAATTCTCTGCTTACCTCGTGGACCTTCTTTACTGCTTGTCACATTTAACCACTGGGTATCAGCATTGTGGTAAAACTACCACCTGTACTACCAGCATTGCATACAGGCAGCAGTTTGTGTCCCAGCTGCTGTACTTCCAACCCAGCTCCTTGTTAATGTGCCTGGGCAAAGTGGAGGAGGATGACCCAAGTCCTTTGGGAACCATGCTGCTCACATGGGAGACCTGAAAGAAGCTCCTGGCTCCTGGCTTTTCCATGGCACAGAAGTGCAGACCATTACAGTCATCTGAAGAATAAACCAACAGATGGAAGATAGCCCTCTCTAGCTGTGGCTTTCAAAATAAATAAAGAAATAGTTTTTAAAATTACAATTTTTAGGGCCCAGTGCAGTGACCTAGTGGCTAAAGTCCTCACCTTGAACGCACCAGGATCCCATATGGGACTCAGGCTTAATCCCAGCTGCCCCACTTCCCATCCAGCTCCCTGCTTGTAGCCTGAAAAAGCAGCCGAAGATGGCTCAAAGCCTTGGGACCCTGCACCTGTGTGGGAGACCTGGAAGAGCTCCAGGCTCCTGGCTTCAGATTGGCTCAGTTCCAGCCGTATGGCTGCTTGGGGAGTGAACCATCAGATGGAAGATCTTCCTCTTTGTCTCTCCTTCTCTCTGTATATCTGCCTTTCCAATAAAAAATAAACCTTTTTTAAAAAAATTACAACTTTTAGCCAGTGGGTAGTGGAAGATAATATGCCTTCATCCCCCTCAAAAGGCACCAATGAGAGAAGATCCGTGTTTTTGCTTGAGGGTAGCAGGCAGTTTTTGCCAGCTGCTAGTGCCAAGGGGCAGCACTGAACACAACAACAGGCCCCTGAGTTGTATTTCCATATTGAAATGTGACAGCCCTGGCTTCCTGCTGGCCTGTAGAAACCTGTCATTTTGAATTGCAAAGAAATTAAGTTGTGTCCTGACCTAGCAGCGCAGGTAGAGGCTCCTCAAAGAGCTGTCCATCCTGGAGGTGGGAACAAGGTCCCCCAAAACCAGCAGTTAACCCCACAGCCAGAGCAGCCACCCCAGACTGCAGTGCCCCTGACCCCTACCCTGCCTCACTGCCTAGAACCTCTGGGAAAAGGAAGAAGATGTTCCAAGAGTAGAGGGAGGCAGAAGAGCATCCCAGGGCAGAGAAAGTCCAGAACCCCCAGAAATGCGTGGCTGGCCCTGAGGACCCCTGGGTGTTGGCCTGTTGCCATCATGAGCTCCAAGGCCAGCCTTGGTCACACAACAACCAGAAGACCCAGAGTAAATACCTTCTTGTCCTTGGGTTTGGTCTCCCTGGTGTCAAGTCTTCACAGTGTCTGTCTCAGAATAGGTGCGTGAGTCAGGTGCCGAGCAGGTGAGCCAGCATCTGCCTTCTTGTCTGTGTTATTGCAAGAAGGATCCCACAGCTGGATCACACAGACCCTCTTGAGTCTCAGCTACGATTTGCTTGCACAACATTTGCATTGCCAGTGTCCTCCTCACAGCCGTGTATGAATGGTATTACTCTTCCCACCTGACAGATGACGCAGCTGACAAATGACAGAGCCAGAACTCAAACCCCTGTCAGGGGTGCTGGGTTCAGCTGAGAGCCACACAAGCCATTCAACTCAGAATGCACAACATTGTACAAACGAATTTTCTCCTTCTTCCCTTATTGCTCTCTCCAGGTTCACAACCGGAACCTCCTGTCCCTGGACTTCGACCGTGTGACACGCACAGAGAAGATCTATGATGACCACCGCAAGTTCACGCTTCGGATCCTGTATGACCAGGCAGGGCGGCCCAGCCTTTGGTCGCCAAGCAGCAGGTTGAATGGTGTCAATGTCACATACTCCCCTGGGGGCCACATTGCCGGCATCCAACGGGGCATCATGTCGGAGAGAATGGAATATGACCAGGCGGGCCGCATCACATCCAGAATCTTTGCCGATGGGAAGACATGGAGCTACACATACTTAGAGAAGGCAAGTGGCCATCTCCCTCCATCGCTTGCCTTGCCACACAGGTTCATCATGGTGACTCAACCCATGGCTGGGGCCAGGCCACCTCAGTAGAGTGGATCTGATCTGTGTTTTCCCCAGCTGAAATGTTCTAGAAAATCTGCCTTGGAGGGCCCAGGGTTTCCAGGCAGCCATCTGAATGAGCCTTGGTGATGGTGTGGCAGGTGGCACAATAGTCCTGCCTGTTAGGATGGAGATGATATCAGGCCTAAATACAACCAAACTTGCAGAACAGGACTTGGAGTCCAGAGATTGGTACTTATGAGGGGAGGTGCTTAACCCTGAGCCTGCAGTGTGGGGTGTGGGCTTAGTGCATCCCTTCTTCAGGACAGGGTTAATTTCATCTCAGAAACTGGGAAAGCTGAGGATCAGAGACAACCTCAAACCACAGGTCAACCCCAGACAGCAGCAAATGGTACTTGGAGGCCTGATGCCCCAAGGTTTGGTCTCTGCTGACTTGCATCTGGGCACCTGCCCAGGACCCAGGCTCTGTTTGCTGTGTATAGGTCTCCCCTCCCTTGTGCTGGGTAAGGCTCTTGGAGAGTGATGTTCTGTGGTGGTGCTGAGACAAGAAGAGAGAGAGGAAGGGAAAGAGAAAGAGAGGAAGGAGAGGAAAGAGAGACCCTGGAGGTCATCCAGCACTATGCATAACCAAACTCAGGGAGAGAAAGCACCTTCCCAGGGCCATGCAATGAACCCTTTGTTATAAACCAGGCTTTCCCACTCCTGTCATCACAATGTTTCCCACCCCAGGGCTGGCACAGGGCCTCAGTGGTCCAATGCCAAGGAGAGAGCAGACCTCCTCCTGGCCCCATTGGCAGCCTCCTGTGGTGCCCTGGTGTGGGAAGCTCTGGCTGGGACATGACTTAGACACATAGGCCCTTTCTCCCTCACTCACCTCATGCTTCTCCTCGCCCTGCAGTCCATGGTGCTGCTGCTGCACAGCCAGCGACAGTATATCTTCGAGTTTGACAAGAATGACCGCCTGTCATCCGTGACAATGCCCAATGTGGCCCGGCAGACACTGGAGACCATCCGCTCTGTGGGTTACTACAGGAACATCTACCAGCCCCCCGAGGGCAATGCTTCGGTCATCCAGGACTTCACGGAGGATGGGCACCTGCTCCACACCTTCTACCTGGGCACCGGCCGCAGGGTGATCTACAAGTATGGGAAGCTGTCAAAGCTGGCTGAGACCCTATACGACACCACCAAGGTGAGCTTCACCTATGATGAGACAGCGGGCATGCTGAAGACCATCAACCTGCAGAACGAAGGCTTCACCTGCACCATCCGCTACCGACAGATCGGGCCCCTGATTGACCGGCAGATCTTCCGCTTCACCGAGGAGGGTATGGTCAATGCCCGCTTCGACTACAACTATGACAACAGCTTCCGGGTGACAAGCATGCAGGCTGTGATCAATGAGACACCACTGCCCATCGACCTCTACCGCTATGATGATGTGTCCGGCAAGACAGAGCAGTTTGGGAAATTCGGCGTCATCTACTATGACATCAACCAGATCATCACCACAGCAGTTATGACCCACACAAAACACTTCGATGCTTATGGCCGGATGAAGGAGGTGCAGTATGAGATCTTCCGCTCACTCATGTACTGGATGACTGTCCAGTATGACAACATGGGGCGGGTGGTGAAGAAGGAGCTAAAGGTGGGACCCTACGCAAACACCACCCGCTACTCCTACGAGTATGATGCCGATGGGCAGCTGCAGACGGTCTCCATCAATGACAAACCACTCTGGCGCTACAGCTATGACCTCAACGGAAACCTGCACCTGCTGAGCCCGGGCAACAGTGCCCGACTCACCCCACTGCGGTATGACCTCCGGGATCGCATCACCAGGCTAGGTGATGTGCAGTACAAGATGGATGAAGATGGCTTCCTGAGGCAGCGGGGTGGCGATGTCTTCGAGTACAATTCAGCAGGTCTGCTCATGAAGGCCTACAATCGGGCCAGTGGCTGGAGCGTCAGGTACCGCTACGATGGCCTGGGCCGCCGGGTGTCCAGCAAGAGCAGCCACAGCCACCATCTGCAGTTCTTCTATGCAGACCTGACGAACCCCACCAAGGTCACCCACCTCTACAACCACTCCAGCTCAGAGATCACCTCACTCTACTATGACCTACAGGGCCACCTCTTTGCCATGGAGCTGAGCAGTGGCGATGAGTTTTATATTGCTTGCGACAACATTGGCACGCCCCTTGCAGTCTTCAGCGGCACGGGACTGATGATCAAGCAGATCCTGTACACAGCCTATGGGGAGATCTACATGGACACCAACCCCCACTTCCAGATCATCATCGGCTACCACGGTGGTCTCTACGATCCACTCACCAAGCTCGTGCACATGGGCCGCCGGGACTACGACGTGCTGGCTGGACGCTGGACCAGCCCGGACCACGAGCTCTGGAAGCACCTGAGCAGCAGCAACATCATGCCCTTCAACCTCTACATGTTCAAAAACAACAACCCTATCAGCAATTCCCAGGACATCAAGTGCTTTATGACAGGTGAGCAGGAGTGGGTCACCCTCAGGACTGGGGGGTAGGGAGAGCTACCCCATGGCTCCAGCTGTCTGATGGGATCTCTGCCTGGAGAAAGGTGGTTTGGGGTGTTGGGAAACATCAACCTCTCCCAAGAACAGAATTCTCCAGTATGTGTTTGAAAAATCATGGATTCAGCAAATAGTCCAGGAGGAGAAAAAAAAATGACTCTGGCAAGAAATGTATTTGATAGGGCTGTTGTTACCATTTCTAAATTTTTACAAAGCATTTCAGTTTCTGGAAGGCTCTGAGAAGTCCTATAATAACAAGAACTATTTGCTATATTTACTATTTCTAAGACTTACTAGACTAACTTTCATTTTTTCACCATGAAGTTGTAATACCTCCCTTTAGCAGTTCCTGACCATAGAGATTGAACTGGCCATGAACTCCTGAAAAGTTGGGTTAAGACACAGACCAAATAGATAAATCAAAGTGATGGTTTGTGATGATTGGAAATTCAGACACTGGTGTCAGGACAGAAGGAAGGATCCACTAATTCTAAGATATGATGTTACACTCATTATTCAATTGTCCCAAATTCCAGTTCCTGATCTTAAAATTCAGAATCCCACCTTGACTCTGATACATGAAATATGCGTATTAGAAGCCCTAGAGCAACCCCTAAAATACAAAAAACAAAAACCTGGAGACAAGTGCATAGCTGAGAAGTCAAGAGCTGAGATACAATGGGAGACCAAAACAATATTCAGTCCAAAGAGGACAGGGAGTGGCTTGGCAGAGCCAAGAAGTGATGTGACAAAGAGGAACAAGTGCCAGGTCAGCAGGGTGGTGGCAGGAATGAGGATGGGGATTCAGAGGCCTCCAGTAAGAAGCCCAGCATGGTGCCTGCTCCTGGGGGCTCCCTGTCCCTTAGCCCTGTGGTTTAAGAAGCAAGCTTTGCCTTCCCCTTCTGTAAAACTACCCGGAATATAAAGTGCCCCTTAGGTGCCATAAGCAGGGAAGTCTCTAACAGTCCAGGTCCTCCCAGCCAACAGCTATTCCCAGGTTAGCCACAGAGGAATTCTGGAGAGGAGGAGATGTGAATGTCTGGCACAATATTGACATCACTGTTTAGGGACACGTTTGTCCCAGGTAAGAGTCACTCGTTTGAGGCCTGGGTTGGTCTGCTTTTGATCCAGCTTCCTGATAATGTACACCCTGAGAACAGCAGGAAATGTCTGGGGTACCTGGGTTCCTGCCATCTGCATGGGAGATTGGATGGAATGCTGGACTCCTGGCTTCAGCTTGGTGCAGCCCCAGGTGGTACAGGCATTCAGGATATAAACCAGCAGAAGAAATCTCTCTCCATGTGTCTCTCCGCCTGTCTGTCTCTTTTTCTCTTTGCCTTTTGAATAAAATGAAAAAAAAAGTAAGAACCACAATCTATTTTTAGAGAGTGAGAGTGGCTAGGGGCCTTTTTACATACGAGCATTTATGGCAGGTGCCTGGCTGCTTCCATGTTCATGTGCCCTATGACACAGTCCTCCTGCCACCCGTTCAGTGTCAGACCTCTTCTTTTCCCCAAGGGCCTCCTCTGTGCAGCCATGTTCGGAGGCAGTGGGGAGAGAAAGCTGAGCCATCTCCTCCAGGACTTCCAGGTGCAAGAGCAGGGACCGGCCGACACTGTCCAGAATGAGTGGGATCGCATGGCTTGGCACAGCCAGGCCTTAGGCACTAAGACTCTGTCCAGGGGTTTCTGGGATGGCATCTCTGAGCAGCTGACCATAGGCCACCCATTAGCAATAGTCATCCAGTGGCAAGAGTAAGGCATGACGGTGAGTGGGAACAGCGCATGCACAAGCCCGGAGCCAGCAGCGTATGTCACTCAAAGGAGTACCTTCTTGGCCGTGGCTTTGTGAGTCGCAAGCTGTGTGGGCCTGTGTGTGCTGGCAGCAATAGGACGATTCTTGTTCAGGGAAGAATTCCAGGTTGTCAAACATGAGGAGCAGGGGACTGAAGCATGGGGGAGAAGGGAGAACAAGGTGGTGGTGCTCAGGTGTGATGGAAACATACTCAGGCCGAGAGGTAAACATGAAGACGGTGACGATGTTTCACAGTGTCTGCCGAGCTCGGCTTGGCTGCTAGCTCCAGAAAAACCCGACAGATTGAGATGACATTTCCATTACGTCTGTCTGCCTTAAGTACGCCCCCTGCCTCACTCTTCAGTGAGTTTCCTGTGAGATGCCTTGGCAGGTGACTGCAGCTGAAAAAAAAAAAAAAAGATGCAGTGGGAAATGTACTTTTATACCAAAAAAAAAAAAAAAAAAAAAAGTTGCAGCTTGCCAAAATATTATTACTCCCTCCCCACTTTTTTTCACTTCCCACTGTGGACATATGGTCTCCCTGCAGAATAGCACTGCCATGCGTGACTCAACACACTGTGCCAGGCACTTGGCAGACGGGGTTGCATCGAAACTTAGCAACAGCCCTGAGACATCATCATCTTCGTTCTAGAGGCAGCTGTGGAACCTCCTACCTGTGAGGGGTGTGCCCAGTGTCACACAAATGAGACTTTGGAGCAGACGCCAAGCCAGGGCTCTCGGGTGCCAGTTTTTCACAAAGCGCCCGCAGGTCTCCGTGCCATTTGAGTTCTATGTTCTCATCGGTTAAATCCAGCAAATAGTGAATTATTCTCTGCCTCTGCAGGCCAACCCCAGGCTGAGGATATATAGGGCAGTCAGGCAGGGGGTTCACACCCCAAGACAGCTTTTCCCACATTTCTTTAATGATGACCCCCATCATCACAATAAAATTGGGGCGCTGGCATTGTAGCATAGTAAGTTACTGGCAAAGGCATACCAGAGTACTATTTTGTGTCCTGTCGGCTCTGCTTCCAAACACCCAGCTGGAATCCAGGGTTCCTGGCTTAAACTTGAATCAGCCCCAGCCATTGTGCCCATCTGGGGAGTGAGCCAGTGGATGGAAGATCTCTTTCCCTCTTTGTCTCTGCCTCTCAAATACATAAAAATAAATTTTATAAAAGAATTCTTAAAAATGATTTTTCCATCACTAAAGTAAGACTGTAAAACAAAAGATTAGCAAGAAATACTTACATGTGACACACTCATGTGAGGGCACTATAAAACAAAATGAAAGGAAATGGAATTAAGAGAAATTTAGGGGTATAGTAGTTAAGACACTGTGTGGGATGCCACCTCCCTATCAGAGGGCCTGAATGCAAGTCCTGGCTTTGCTGCCAGTTCTAGCCTCCTGCTAATGTGTATCCTGAGAGGCAGCAGGTGATGGCTGAAGAACTTGGGCCGCAGCCACCCAGGTGGGAGATCAGAATGGAACACCTGGCTCCTGGCTTCGGCTTGGCCCAGCCCTGGCTATTGTGAAGTGAACCAAAAGATGGAAAATTCTCTCTCTCTCTCTCTCTCTCTCTCTCTCTCTGTGTCATTTTCTCTTCTCTGTTTCAACAGCATTTTAAAAGAAACAGAAAGAAGTTCTTTTTGGTACAAACATCGTGAAAGCAGTACAATGAGGGCTTCAAAAAGATTAAAGAAAACTTTCATGACTTAAAAAAACGTGGATTTCAAAAGTATACCAAAATGAATTTATCTTTTAATTCTATTTCTTTGCAAATGTTCTGAGGTAACTTCTTATTTCCTTAGTGCAATTTCAATAAAAATGCTACTCATAGCAGAAAGTCAGTTGACTGCACAGTAGATTATACCCCACTGTTTGAAAAGCTGTAATGTGGAAAACAGAGATTTTTGTATGAATAGTCAAGTTGTAACATAAAAGATTTGAATCTCTATTAAGAAACCTCTAGACCACCATACCAGCTATCTTCTGTGTAGGCTGCATGCAGCCTCATTCACATCAAACAATAGCAGTGAAAATAAAATAAAAAACAAAATCTTACCTTGTAAAAATGTATTCAAGTGTTCTGAGACATATGCAGCTGGATTGGCACAGGTCACATGGAGCAATCACGAGGGCTGGGAGGTAGACTGCAGATTGGCTGGACCTAGGTCACATGATCCAGATGGAGTCAGCTAAAATTACATGAGTACAAAGGGAAGACAGAATTGAGTGCTGGAAAGGTAGCCAAAAAAATTCTGCACAGCTGCAGTGTGTACACTATTGGCCCTTTTTTTCAAAATGTATTAATATTTTTTTTTTTATGTAACAGAGAGGGAGAGACAGGGAAAGGGATCTTCTGACCACTGATTCACTCCTCAAAAGATTGCAATGGCCAGGTCTGAGGCAGGTCCAAGCCAGGAGCCAGGAACTCCATCTTGGTCTCCCATATGGATGGCAGGGGCCCCAGGATTGGAGCCATCTTCTTCTTCTCAGGCACATTGACAGAAAGCTAGATGCGCAGTAGAGCAGCCAGGACTCAACCTGACATGGAATGTTCTGATATGGCATGCTGTCCTCAAACATGACAACTGAACCCATTCTGCCATAGTACCAGCTCCAGAGATTGGTTTGTTTGTTTGAATAAGGGACCAGTATTGTGGAGTACCAGGTTAAGCCATACAGTCCCACCATCCCCTTTGGGAGGTGGGGAAATGAAGTGTGTTACTTCTTCTTTTTCTTGAAATGATTGATTTATTTCATTGTTTAGTTATTTGAAAGATTTACATAAAAGCAGAGAGGAGAGAGCTCTTCTATATACTGATTCACTCCCAAGAGGGCCTCACTGGCCAGAGCTGGACCAGGCCAAAGTCAGGAGCTTCTTCCAGGTCTTCCACATGGGTGCAAGGTTCCAAGCACTTCCAATTTCCACTGCTTTCCCAGGTGTACTGGCAGGGAGACAGATGGAAAGTGGAGGAGCCATGCCCATATGGAATGCCAGAATCCCAGGCAATGGCAGTGGCTTTCTCTACTATGTCAGGGAAGTTTGTATTTAGGTAAAGTCAGTCACTGACTATCCTTTCTCCCCTATTGATAATGGGGGCAGAAGTGGCTGGAGGACCAGGGGATGGCATAAGACAGGAAGAGGAGGCAAGAAGGCCAGGATCTCGTGTTTCCTGTCCATCAGGTATATCCCCAGGCAGGGGTTCCTAGGTCCCAGGGCCATAGGAACAGCATGTGGCCATCTTGCAAAGTGCCTGTCCCACCAGCAGCTATCCTCACACTCACTGCAGCCTACCTCTGGCTGCTCCCACGGGCCAGACACATCAAGGGCCACACACTCACTCTAGGGTTGTCTTTCTGCTTCTCCACTGCCCAGATGTCAACAGCTGGCTGCTCACCTTTGGATTCCAGCTGCACAACGTGATCCCTGGCTATCCACCGCCAGACACAGACGCCATGGAGCCATCCTACGAGCTCGTCCACACACAGATGAAAACACAGGAGTGGGACAACAGCAAGGTACATTCTACCCCGGGAAGAGGGGGCGGTTCAGACATCCTTGGAGGGGGTGGCCCCAGCTTTTGGGGAACACTCAAGCCCTATAGTCCTCTAGCATGTTGGCCAGAGGCTGTTGCACAGTTGCTCAGTTGTTCTCCATATTAGATTTTCCATCATGTAGTTCACAAATATTTCCCCATGATCTTACTGCTCCCATTTCACAGATTAAGTGCCAGAGGTGTTCATAGTGTTATGTAACAAGGCAAGGCTAGAGTCGCCCGTCTAACCCTGTCATTAGTATTGTCTTGCAAAGTCTGGTAACTGGCCTGCTGTAGGTGCTCGGAAAGAAGTTACTTTCTCTCAGCCTCCCTTAATGCAAAAACTTGGTATCATCTAGCTGAAAAGGTCCTTAAAAACAATCTCAGCTCACCTGCTCAGTTGTAGCCATTGTTCATGAATTGCTGCCTCCCCTGCCCCCATTCCATTAACAAATTCTGCCAGAGGAACTGACTCTGGGCTAGACCCTGAGCAGTGCCTAGGGAACCAGGGATGCATCAGGCAGAGAGACCAGCTCTGAGCCAGCAGGCTGAGCAGGAGAGTAGGTGACAAGCTGCTGGTGATCCTCACTCCAGACCGATTCCCAAAGCCCTCAGCCTGCCTGACTTTCTCCCACCCAGGCCCTAGAGCGGGGGGTTGTGTCTGACTCTGCCAGAGCCATCCCCTTACTGTATTCTACCCATTGCCTTGCCTTTCTCTCCACTGGAGGATGTGCCCCCAGACATTGAGTCCTGGGTTTCCACTCATACCAGCTAGCACACAGGTGCAGGGAAAAATAGCCACTGATGAGCTAGGTGCCTCTTCCCCTCCTCCCTACACACACATACCCACCCAACCACCTTATTCAAAAGGAGATCACTGCCCCTAGGCTACAAAATAACAAAAGGTACCCAAGCCTGCAAGATCACACAGTGGCTCCTCTTTCCAACACACCCCAGCCCCCACCCCAGGGCCTGCCCCAGAACTGCCAGCATCCTCCCTCCGTGCAAGGGCTGCTGCTGCTGCTGCTAACAGTGCAGCTCCTCCTCCCCGCCCCCAGGCTCCCTTCTCCTGCTCTCCCACACAGCCCCATCTCAGCCTGCCTGTTTGCCAGTCTCGCCTGTCAATGAATTATTGATTTCTGCCCTTGGCAAGCATCGGAGATCTTTGTTGTTGAGCACTCCAGCTTTTGTGAAACTCTAGGAAATAATTGTTCACAGACAGGGTTCTATTAATTATAAAGAGGACTTAATTTCAGCGAGAAGCCGATCGGTCTGTTTCTAAAGCCAGTTCTCTGAGTTGCTGATAAGGTCCTGGAGCCTGGTGGAGCACCCTCAGCCCTGAGAAGGACCTGGTGAATAGAAGACCAAGGCCCCAGGGGGCACAGTGGGGCAAAGACCCTCTTAGAAAAGCAGGTGTATACACAGTGGGGCTCAGTAGAACAGGGTGAGAGGGCTTCTAAAAGGGGGTGAAGTCCATGCAAACACACTTTAAAGGTAGATTTCAGGATGGATGTGTGGCAAAGCAGGGAAGTCGCTGCTTGGGACTCCCACGGTCTAGGTCACAGTGCCTGGGGTCTGCTCCCAGTCACACCCTTCCTGTAAGTGCCCACTCTGGAAGGCATGAGCCAGATAGGTCCCTGCCAGCTGTATGGGACACGCAGATGGAGCTCCTGGCTTCTGACATCAGCCTGGCCCAGCCCCCACCACTGTGCGCCTTTGGGGAATGAACCAGTACATGGAAGATTCTTCCCTCTTCCTCCCTCCCAACCTCCTTGCCAGTGTACCTTTCAAATAAATAAGCTTCTTAAAATATTTAATTTGATACAGAAGTTTCTTTTATTACAAAAATATCTTGATTCGTGCAGTTTTTCTGTGACTTTTCCACGGACTTTGTTAGGTCCCCTTGTATAAATGACCACTCTTTGTCTCATGTCGCCTTCTTGCTCAAAGGGCATCTTGCCATTCCTCCCTCTGCATCACACCCCTCTTGGTCCTCCTGATCCCAGGTCAAGCACAAGCCTGTACTCAAGTCCCACCCTCCCCACCCCTCTCCTTTACTTCTGGGCGGAGCTTCCTCCTTGACCTTGAGCATCCGGAACAGCCCACCAGACCTGGGTTGACTTGTTAGCAGCTGTGCGGGGGCCAGGGACATCTTTGAGCATTAGTCTCTGCAGAAGTGCACCTGTCATCTAATGTTATTGTGACGATCCAACAAGATAAATGACAAGATATACAAGTGAGAGCCACTGCTGTCACCTCTCTCAGACCACCGGCGATCACGCTGGATGGCAATTGCTGTCATCCTCTCTAACTTGCCCTGCTAAGTGCTGAGTTCTTTGAGAGCAAGGATAATAGTCGGGTTCATCATTATATCCCTGGCGAGTTCAGAAAAGGACCTGGCACAGAGGAAGATGGTCCCCAGATAATGTCTAAAGAGAGGGCGAGGAGGGGGTAAGTGGGCAGCCGGTGGTCAGCACTAGAGCTACCAGTAAAGAACTGAGTGAAGAGCTGATCTGGCATCTCAGCTGATTCTCAGGGTTTCTTCCTTTTTGTCTCATTCTGTCTCTCTCCTCCCTCATCAGTCTATCCTCGGAGTACAGTGTGAAGTGCAAAAGCAACTCAAGGCCTTCGTCACCTTAGAACGCTTTGACCAGCTGTATGGCTCTAGCATCACCAGCTGCCAGCAGGGCCCCAAGACCAAGAGATTTGCTTCCAGCGGCTCAGTCTTTGGCAAGGGGGTCAAGTTTGCCCTGAAGGATGGCCGAGTGACCACAGATATCATCAGCGTGGCCAACGAAGATGGGCGGAGGGTGGCTGCCATCCTGAACAATGCCCACTACCTGGAGAACCTGCACTTCACCATCGGCGGTGTGGACACCCACTACTTTGTGAAAACGGGGCCTTCTGAAGGCGACCTGGCCATCCTGGGCCTCAGCGGGGGGCAGCGAACCCTGGAGAACGGGGTCAATGTCACCGTGTCCCAGATCAACACAATGCTCAACGGTAGGACTAGACGCTACACAGACATCCAGCTCCAGTACGGGGCACTGTGCCTGAACACCCGCTATGGGACGACAGTGGACGAGGAGAAGGCGCGGGTGCTGGAGCTGGCGCGGCAGAGGGCTGTGCGCCAGGCCTGGGCCCGTGAGCAGCAGCGACTGCGGGAAGGGGAGGAAGGCCTACGGGCCTGGACCGAGGGGGAGAAGCAGCAGGTGCTGAACACGGGGCGGGTACAGGGCTACGACGGTTTCTTCGTCATCTCCGTCGAACAGTACCCAGAACTGTCCGACAGCGCCAACAACATCCACTTCATGAGACAGAGCGAGATGGGCCGAAGGTGACAGAGAGGGCCAAGGCCTGGACTTCTTGCCAAAGACAGCTACTCTTTTGTGGCCACGTACCTGACTGTGTTGTACTCAGAAAAACAAAACAAAAACATTTTTTTAACAAGTGCAGAAAACGGAGAAAAAAAAAGATACTGGTTGCATTGTAATTCATGCAACATCCTTTTTTTTAAAGAAAAAAAAAACACAAATTTGGCCTTCACACATTTTTTTGCAAAGAACAGAAGGTATTTTTTTCTGTAGTGTGATCGCAATGAAAACTCTATTGTCTTTTGTCCCCCTTTTTCCTTGAGGAATTCTTCCTTGTTGTTTGGGGTCCATCTCCAGGGGAAGGGGGTGTCCCTCGTATGTCCCGAGGTCCCGCATGTTATGTGGGACTTGAAAGTCTGTGCTGACTCGTCTTGTGTGCAGCCCTTTCTGCTTCGTTTGGGCAGGAGTGCAGGGTGTGGAAACCTGTGGGCCAATGCCGCACCCCTTCTGAGGGGAACAGGCCCTAAGGACCCAGGGCCCTTGGACAAGGCTCTGGCAGACAAAAGGTGGATTTGTATTTCCGGGTGCTGTACCTCCAAAGGACTCTAGGGGAGTCTCATGATGTCATCCATCAAGCTACCCCCACCTCCTGCCCAAGCTTTCTGTGTTGATGCTCAGTGAGACCCCTGCCCCTTCTGCAAATCCTGTGTCATTGTCGGTGCCACTCTCATGCTGGGATAGACAAAGTGTTTCCTGGGTCCTTCCAGACACCCACCCAACCCCTCCACACCCTGCCCCACATCCTGTGATTGAACCTCCTGGGGCTAGGAGCCCCACCGTCCCCAGGACATCCATGATTGAATAATCCTTCATGCTGTGCCCTGTTCCTCACCTCCTCTCTCCCAAAGCCAGAAGTGAGAACCAGCTCTGGGCACCCTGTCCAGGGCTGGAAACGCTACTGTGGCAAAGGATGGCAGTAGTGGCAGATGCCAGCCTGCTTTAACAGGGGAAGCCCTGTCCCCATGGCTTTGGGTGTCTCCCTCCATTGCAAAGGGGCCACTGCTGAGAAAACAGGGGTACAGGGCTAGAGAGAGAGGTGCCCGGTGGCCTTTGATTCTGAAAAGATGCATAAGGTAGAAAGTCAGCCAAAGAGAGGAAGGGGTGTGCCAAGCCACCTTCTGAGCAACTCTGACATCTCTGGGAGCCTGCCTATGCAGGGGGCAGCAGCAGAAGGTAGGGGAGCGTGCAGAACATCCTCTCTCTGCAGTGTCTCCAAGCAGCTCCCCCCAGAGAAGTCTCCTTCCCCCTCCTGCCTACATGTCTGGAAGGCTTGGGAGAAAGGAAAAAACCAACGTGACACACCCTGGCAGGGTTGGGCAGTTCCAGGAGGCCAGGCCAGGCCACCGCTGTCTCTGTCACTGGACAAACCTGGAGGGCGTGCCCAGGGCAAGGCCACATCAGTAACTGGGGTAGTTTTGGGGACAGGGGTGAGCCACAACAAGGCCGAGGAGCTCCTTGTGTGAGAGTTCTGGTCCGGGGTTATCCACCTGTTGGCCATCATCATCCCCACTCACAGGAGGCTCTGGGAGACATGGGTAGAAGCCAAATGCTTCCTCTGGAGCTGAGCTTCTTAGAAAATGGAACTTTTATGGGTTACATTTACATTAAGTGTGGAAAATGAATTCCAAGTCTGAGCTATTCCCCGTGGAAACCTTGTTGGACTGATAAGCTCATGGCACCTTTATAGCCTTATTCACGGAGTCTTCAGAATATTACACGAGTTAATGAAACCAAGAAGGTCTCTCACTGCATGAGAATGGAGCAGCATGTAGTCTGGGTTCTGCCTGTCAGAGGGAGGCCACCAAAGCTCCCCCAGGGGAGAGGAGATTTCGCCTTATGTCATCCCACTGGGATTAGAGGATGTGTTTCGCTAAGTGCTCTTCCTGTTTCCAAAAAATAAAAATAAATAAATAAAAAGTCACACTGCCACAACAGTGTGCCTTGGCCTGTGTGTCCACTGGTGGCCCAGGACGCCTGGATCAAATGCTATTCTGGGCAGGACACCGTGCCTCTCGTGTCCACTGTGCACAGCACGAGCTGCACACAGTGCTTCCACCTGGCATGACCAAAGGCTCTTGGATGAGAAGGAAAACATTCTGGCCCGAAGAACACAAGCGGTTTTTGTTTTTGTTTTTTGAAATCCAAAAATGACTTAAGCTTTTCAAAATGTTCTCTTGATATACAGGACTCTTGGGTAAGTCCTTCTCCTGTCTGCTGGCCTAGTTGACCAGCCTCATCCAGGCCACCTGCCATAGGTCAAGACTCACTAGGGAATGTCTACTGGGAGGTCAAAGACGGCATGTAGTCCCAAGGGGACCATCTTGCTGCACCTTCCCCCAGGCCCTCCATTCCCAGTCCCCAAAGGATTAGCGGTGATCTGCCAAGAAACAAAAACACAAAGAATTGTTGGGCACCAGCGAGGATCTCAGGTTTCTCCTAGGCTACAGAACACCAATGACACCCAGCTATGGTGGGCGGCAGTTCAAGCATCCCCAAGCCTTAAAGAAGGGGTTTCAATGTGGGGCAGACTGCACCATGCACCTGAGCTTAGCATTGCCTCTGTTGTCCTAGAGCTGGTCTGACTTTGGTCCTCTTGAGTGGCTTTTCACTAGGAATGGCAGGTGACCCGGGCCCTCCCTTCCGTCTAGTCTCTTATTGAAGTCAACAGCCCCAGTTCTGGGAGGGTGAGTCGGAGTTCCTTTCATCTGCCATGATGGCCCTGGTCCCTCTAGACACACACCAAGCTCAAACCTGTGCATTTATCAGAATGGCCAGCCCTCTCTAATTGGCCCCAGGCTCATAATTCTGCAGGATATTTGGTTTCTGTCCCTAGAAAGAGATTTCTTTTAGAACAGTTTCTGCCTTCTCCCCCTCTACCACCTGCTACCCTCCACAGCTGCCAGATGGGGCCCTCACCTCAGCCCCTTTGCCACCACCTAGGACAGAACATTGGGGATCTTCAACTTTGTGTCTTATGGGATGTGCTCTTGGAAGGAAGGGTGGAACAACCACAACAGAAGGGTGGGGAGGGATGCCAAGGCAGCCCCATGCAGCCAGCCCCTGACCCTCATCTCAGAGTTGGTCCCTGAGAACTAGCCCAAGGACCACACCAGTGCCTGATTTCCTTGTGGGGAGGGAGGACTTGAAGCAGCCCCTCAGAAAGCATCCAGTAGGTGAGAATGGCATGGGAGTGTGTGTGTGTTCCAACAATGCTTATAGCATGCGGCTTGGGGCTAGCCTGCAACTTGGGCAGTGTTTTATGAGCACACAACAGAGAATCATAATTTAAAAAAAAAAATCAAGGACCTTTGCAGCTGTGACTTTTATGTATCCCCATTCTAGTTGGCAGGGATTTCCTTTATGCAAAGAGAAAGTTTTCAAGGTGAACCAATAGAATGCAGCCTTGTGCCTACGGCCAGCAGTGAGCCTGCTGGCCCGCCGCAGGGACCTCTGCTTTGGGGCTGTCAATCACCCACTGTCCACAGCCAAGTCTATTCTCCTTCCTTCACAGCAGCCGCTAGCCTAGGAGGTGGCTTCTCCTCCTGGCCAGGGACCTGCCTCCTGAGGGGTGCCGGAGAGAAGCCACTATCTCCTCCTTCAGTGTAGAGCCCCTGGACCCTCCTGCCCTCAGTCCTCTGTCCATGACAGGCACCGCCTTCCCAGCCAAGTTTATACACTTGTCTATATTTTATTGGAGGGGAAGGGATTTAAAAAGAACTTAACTTTGTAGTCTGGGGTGGGGTGGGCCCTTGCGTTTAACCTTCCAAAAACAGCAAACTCATTTTAAAGACTCATTGCTCAGGTGACGGAGAGGCCAGAGCCTCAATCCTCTCCAACCTTTACATTCTCAAAACCAGCCTCTTGTCCCGGGCTGCCCCAGCCGGCTGCGGCGAGCTCTTCAGCTGCAACAGGAATGTGGAAGATCTCCCCATCCCTGGGGAGTGGGAGACCTGCCTAGGGGCCCATTTGCATTTTTTGATCCTTGTGGAATGCCAAAGGCAAGAGACTGGGTGACTTCCTGGTCCCAAGACAATGTGATTTCTTCTGAGGGTGAACTGCCAAGGGAGGAGCGACCCTGAGCAGGCTGCGGCTCCCCTGGCACAAGTGGAGTGGAAGGAACCTGGCAGCGGCCCCATGTTCACCCAGCACTGGAATCCCATGTGTCCACACCTGCCCGTTGTTCTGAGAACTTCAGAGCCCGCGGCCTGGGCAGCAAGCTGCCTCGGGACCAGCCACCCTGGGGACTCTGGCCTTACCACGTGGAAATCGTTTTCCTGAAGTCTGGAACTAATTTTGAGAAGTTTTTTTTCTCAACATTTTTGCGTTTCTAACACTGTATTCTTGACTGTGTAAATACCAACACGGCTGTAAATAAATGCAGATGTAGATACCTTCTAGAAAAAGAAACAAAAAAAAAAAAAAAGAAAAAACCAGAAGTGACCCCGTGTAGCCTTCGTTGACAAATAAAAGGATATTTTGTGTTTAAATGTGTCTAGCTGCTTTTGTTTGGAACAGCTTCCCCCTGCCTGACCCAGCTAGAGCTATGCCCCAGGTTTACACTGCCTGGTGCTGGACTCACAGCAAGAGGGCCTGGCAGCCAAGTTCATGCCAGGCCCCAGCTGTCTTACGGAGGGATTCCAGAGGACGTGAAGACCTGCAGGGTCACTGTGGCTGGATGCGCCAGTGACATCACAGCCTGTCCCTGCCGTTGGCCTCGCTGACATGGGAGACAGATGCCATGGGGAGAGACGGTTCCATGATGCCACTGCCTTCCACAAGGGGTGTAACTAACCAGTCCCACTCTGAAAATAAATGCTTGTGTCTCGGCTTACAGATTATTAGAACAAAAGGAAGAAAATGTGCTTGGCCTTTGGTTTCCTTCCCTTATGTTCTTAGTGGACTCTTTTTTTCCCCCCTCAAGTGGTTGCAGTCACATTGTGCAGGCCATTTTTCTCACCCTTCTTTTCCCATTTAACCTAGCAGCCCTCGGAGTCAGAGGCGACAGCTGGTCTCTTGGGAAAGGACATTCGCTAAGCTGGGATCCCAGGTGTGATGGCGAACCTTATGAAAATGCAATTAATTGCCTCTAAAGACAGAAGTAATTGCAGAAGGCTCCTCCCTCCCCTAGCTTAGGCATGGAGGCACCACCAGTGCCCTGGCTTCTACCCTTGGCCACCAGGGGCTCTCCAAACATGGCTGCCAACTATGAGGTGCAACCAGGAGGTAACAGCAGTGGTAAAGGGGAAAGGTGCTTTAGATGTCAAGCCAGATTGGAAGCAGAAACTGGTACTGACATGTACCATGTGAGCAATCTTCCAGACAGCCTTTGCACCCCTCCCCGGCCTCAAGCCATGGGGCTTCCATCTACAATGAAGATACCCCTATGATACACTCCGTGGGGACTGTCCTGGTCGCTTCCGAGAGAGGGTGCCATGGAGCCCGTGGTTCCACAATCAACCCCTCCTTTCCCTCCTCCCAGTCCCACCCAACCCCAACCCTCTGAAGTCCAGGGCTCTTCACACCACCCTCAAGTGTTGGCCTGCGTCTCAGTCATCCCAGAATTCACCAAAACCCACAAGGGGGCCAGCACTGTGTCCTGTGGCACAGCACGAAAAGCCACTGTCTGCATTGCTGGCATCCCATAGGAGCACCAGTCAACATCCCATTTCTGCTCCAGTTTCCTGATAGCATGCCTGGGAAGGG